TCTCCCCTTCTCTTTCTTCCAAGTCCCTCTCCCTTTCCCACATACTCCCAATTATCTCAGGAGATCTTGTCCCTTTCCTCTTCTCCAGGGGACCATGTATATCTCTCTTCCAGTTCTCCTTGTTTTGTAGCTTCTTTGGCAATGTGGATTGTAGGCTGGTAATACTTTGCTCTATGTCTAAAATCCACATATGAGTGAGTACATACCATGTTTGTCTTTTTGTGATGCGGTTACCTCACTCAGGATGGTTTCTTCTAATTCCATTCATTTGCCTGTGAATTTAAAGATTCCCTTATTTTTTTCCTCTGCTGAGTAGTACTCCATTGTGTAAATGTACCACATTTTCTCCATCCATTTTTAAGTTGAGGGACACCTAGGTTGCATGCAGTTTCTGGCAATTACAAATAATGCTGTTATAAACATAATTGAACAGATGTCCTTCTTGTATGAATGAGCACCTATTGGGTATATGCCTAAGAGTGAAATTGCTGCATCTTGTGGTAGAGTGATTACCATTTTTCTGTGGAATCTCCATACTGATTTCCAAAGTGGCTGTACAAGTTGACACTTCCACCAGCCATGGAGGAGTGCTCCCCTTTCTCCACATCTGCTCCAGCATAAACAGTCATTCATTATTTTTTTTTATTTTAGCCATTATGACAGGAATTAGATGATATCTCAGAATTGTTTTGATTTGAATTTCCCTTATGGCTAAAATGTTGAGCACTTTCTTAAGTTTCCATTAGCCATTTAGTTCTGTACCCCACTTATAATTGGGATCAGTGTTTTAGAGACTTGCTTCTTGATTTCTTTGTAAATTTTGGAGATCAGTTTCTGTCAGATGTGGGGTTGGTGAATATCTTTTCCCATTCTGTGGGCTGCCTTTTTATCTTGTTGACTGTATCCTTTTCTTTACAGTAGCTTCTCAGTTTCAGGATGTCCCAATTATTAACTGTTGATATTAGTATCTATGCTATTTGTGTTAGGTTCAATAAGCAGTCTTCCGTACCAATTTGTGTAAGGCTACCTCCCACTATCTCTTCTAAGAGGTACAGTGTGGATGAATTTATGTTGAGGTCTTTGATCCATTTGGACTTAAGTTTTGTACATGGTGATAGACAGGGATCTATCTGCAGTCTTCTACATGCCAATATCCTATGCCAGCACCATTTGTTGAAGATGCTTTCTTTTTTCTATTGCATAATTTAAGATTTTTGTCAAAAATCAAGTGTTTGTAGGTATGTGGGTTAATATTAGAGTTTTCAATTTGGTTCCATCATTCTACCTTTCTATTTTTGTGCCAATACCAAGCTGTTTCCAGGACTACAGCTCTACAACAGATCTTGAAGTCAGGGATGTTAATGCCTCTGTAAGTTCCTTTATTGTACAGGGTTGTTTTGGCTATCCTGGGTCTTATGTTTTTCCATATGAAGTTGAGTATTGTCATTTCAAGGTCTGAGAAGAATTGTGCTGGGATTTTGATGGGGATTGCATTGAATCTGTAGATTGCTTTTGTCAAGATTGCTATTTTTTACTCTGTTGATTCTACGTATCCAAGAGCATTGGAGATCTTTCCATTTTCTGGTATCTTCTTTAATTTCTTTCTTTAAGGATGCAAAGCTCTTGCTGTACAGGACTTTCACTTATTTGGTTAGCATTACCCCATGGTATTTTATGTTGTTTGTGTATTGTAAAGGGTGATGTTTCTTTTATTTCTTTCTTGCTCTATTTATTGTGTGTATGTAGTAGAGCTACTGATTTTTTTGAGTTAATATTTTATCCTGCCTCTTTGCTGAAGGTGCAGGAGTTCCTAGTACTGCCTATTTTCCTGCCTCACAGACAACACAGTGTTTTATTCATCAACCAATAAGAGAAACATATATACAGAAGGACTTCCCCATCAGGGGATGTCATGGAGACTCACCTGTCTAGATCATGAATAAGGAAGTAGGAGGTCTGCTGAGTGGAGAGGTTGAGTGTGGCACTCAAGTGCTCTGTGGTTGGTGGCTGATAGGTTGGGTCATGATGACAGCCTGCTGATTGGTTGCAGTTCAGTCGGGGTGGCCCGATATGGCAGGGACACTGTATGTGGGTCCAGGGATAGATTTGGTGGATTAGGGAGAAAGCATGTATGGAGATGTCATAGACTCACTGGGTTAGAATCTAGGGAAGAAGGTGGGAACAATTGTTCAAGTGTTTCTATTGCCAATTTCCAATGTGCAGCACCTTCTAGCACTATGAATGTTTGTCAGTAGGGGTGAAGTTTCTGTCTCATTTCAAGGCCAGTCTGGTGTACAGAGTGAATTCCAGGACACGCAAAACTATACAGAGAAACCCTATCTCAAAAAATGAAATATAAAAGTAAAATAAATAGAGTAATAAAAAAACTTATGTAAAGGTGGAAATTGCACAGAAAGTCTGGGTAACTGTATGTTATTGTGTTGTCTGAATTGTTTAATTGCTTGGGAAGGAGCAACAACTGCTAAAAGACATTTGATTATCTTAAAACTTACATTAATTAGCCATGAAATCCCATTAGTAGGTTAATAGTAATGTGTATAGTCTCTCTTACATTCTTATTAAAATAACTCCCCAAGGATAAAGCAGGAATAATATAAATTAAGTACTAACAGTTTATGTGAATCTTAAATTCAAGTGGTGAGTTTGCATTTGTCTACTAATGCAATTTGTTGGTCAAATCATTTGCTTTAATGTGCTGAAATTTTTAAAAGTTGTTAATATGACCTACTTTTAAGGCAAAATTGATCTATTTTACTAATGTTGCTACAATAAATAAAATACAGTTTTAATTATGCTAAGTTTTAAGGCTTATATTTTATTTTTTCTAACATTTTTCTTTATATAGAAGAAATCTGAATATTTTCTGAAGAGAAAAACTTCATGTACTTGGCGTTTACCACATTAAAACTGGTAAGAGTGAAGATAGTAAGAAAATTTGAATATATGCAATGTTTTAGCAGATGGTTAATGCTATCTATATATCCAATTCCCATTTTATAATTATACATAATATTAAGAACCAATCAAAACACATGGGTTGTATTTCATAAATTCTTCCAAGTATCTCTAGTTTAAAATTATTTATCTGTACATTGTGTGTTACATAAACTCATTCTGAGATATTTGTGATAGGCAACATGTCATTTTCTTCTAATTTATTAGAAATATTTAATATTTATTTCTGTTTGCATTTGGAAGAGGAGATTGTTGGGATGAATGCAAGCACGCTCTCCATATGAACAAGTTCTGTACTGTATGTACCAAGGCCATGTGTTTTATTGAATTCTTTCAAAAAGCTAGGTGTAAAATATAAGGGCAACATATTCTCATTAATGATGGGTACATATTAATCATATGATTTGGTAACAAGCAGGTATGTTTATTAATAAGAATGTTATTGATGAATGTAGCCCAGTTTTTAAAGGGCCAATTTTGTGTGAGGGAAAATAAGAGTAATTAATTATATAAATTAGAAGTTACTCTCTGAAGACATTGCTCTTGTGAAAAAAGGTGTCATATTTATATGCTTATAGCTACTTTTGCTGTTTTCAAAGACTAATTTTGCACATCTGTCAACAAAAGTTTAATATTCCTGCAGGACCGTGAGCATTTGAGTGCTTAAGAACTGGTATGACACAGTTTTGTTTTAATCATTTCTATTGGCTCATTAAGTATCCTTCATTCATATAATGATATACACATTTTTTATTTTTAGAGTAAATTTCTTCGCTTTATTTTATGATTTGAAGTTATCATTAGTTAAAGTTTATCTTTTTCAAAAAATTTTCCTTAACTGTTGTTGCTTAGGTAGAAATAAAAAAATCACTCCTTCAGGGTTTACTCCTTTTTGACTTTGTTTTGAAGCCAGGTCTTGCTTTGTAGTTCATGGTGGCCTCAAATTCAAAACTCCCTTTTTGTTCGCCTCCTAACATAGGAATTAAAACCACATTCCACTCTAACCACTTTATCAGACACTCTCAGGAATCTTAATATTCCTTGTTTATACATGATCTAGGAAAAGATAAGGGAAACCTTCATTTGTGAATAAAAATTAATATGTACAATTTGCATTATTTTCTTTATACATTTTAATTGACCAAATAAAAATACTTATTGTTTTTATGTAAAAATTGTATAGGTTAGTAGAATGTTTCTTTTTCTTTTATTTTAACCAGCTTTTACATAAGAATTTCCAAATATGTAATGGTAAAGAAAAGACTGTTTTGAAGTGTCAACAATGTATTTCCATGTGTTCAGCTGTTCTTTCAGACAGTCTGCTTAACATTTTTATTTTACACCCAATTAAGTTAATTTCTGATATTTGTATACTAAACAAATTGGTTGAAAGTCATAAGAACATTTCTTTATTCATTCCTTCTATGTAGAGATACTTGGTTTGAGAAGGTAAAATGTCATTCTTATATTTTCTTTACCCTATTATTGACTTTATTTTCCATAGTTCTTTTAATTCCTAGTATTTATTAATGTTTATGCATCAGGGAATCTTTATGTATTATGATAACTACATAGAATTAATGAAATATATAATGAGTACATGACATACCTATTCTATGCTCTATTAATTTAGCTTGAAAGCATACATGAAATTATGGATATTAAGATAAGATTTAATAAAATAAATGTCCATGGAAATGTCAGAAATCCACTAGCTTTCATGAGTAAAATCCCATAATTATAGGTCATTCTAATGAGTATAAAGAAGATATACTTTCAACTTCTCATTAGTGTCTCAGAGGAAATTCTAAGAATAAATAGCAGAAGATGAGAATTTCAAGAACTAGTATGACTACACAAAATTTTTGGCAGATGTTTTAAGAACACATATCCATAATTGAAGTAGAGAGAACATAACTCACTGTTAGCCTGATATATCCATTGTTTCAGAGCTTCTGCCTTGTCACACTAATCTGCATCCTTTTACTTCATTTCTCTTAGAAACACCCTTTCATAGAGAGGAGATGGATGTATACAATCTTTCCACAGTGACTCAATTCATCCTCATCGGACTCTCTGACCTCCCTGAGGTACGCTACCCACTCTTCGTGGCCTTCATAATCATCTATCAGATCACTTTGCTGGGAAACGGTGCCATCCTCTTGGCCATAGTGACTGAGAGAAAGCTTCAAACTCCCATGTATTACCTGCTTGCAAATCTGTCCCTGCTGGACATATTCTGCCCATCAGCTACTGTCCCCAAGATGCTCAAGAATCTCTTGACTGAGGATCATAGCATTTCCTTTGTTGGGTGTGCTCTGCAGCTCTATTTCCTGGTGGCCTTGGCTGGGACTGAAGTTTTCTTGCTGGCTGTGATGGCTTATGACCGGTATGTAGCCATATGTTTTCCTCTCCGTTACTCCCTCATCATGACCAAGGTTCGCTCTGTACAGCTGCTGTTTGGGACCTGGGCAGCTGGGTTTCTCAATTCATTCATGCATACAATGACAACCTTCAGCTTGTCTTTCTGCAAGTCCAATCGAGTTAACCAGTACTACTGTGATATCCCACCTGTGGTTGCCCTCTCATGCTCATCAACCTTCATAGCAGAACTGCTTATTTTGTTGATGGGCAGTATCTTTGGGGTTGGCGCTTTTCTGATCACTTTGATTTCCTACATATACATTGTCTCCACCATCCTAAAGATCCAATCTGTGGAAGGGAAGCGCAAAGCTTTCTCCACATGTGCTTCCCATCTTCTTGTAGTCTTCTTGTTCTATGGCACAACCATTTTTACCTATATCCGCCCCTCCTCCAGTCAACACTCTCCTGCCAGAGACAGACTCATATCTATGTTGTATGGGGTCATTACTCCCATGTTAAACCCTATTATCTACAGCCTGAGAAACACAGAAGTCAAAGGAGCTCTCAGAAAAGTTTTTCATCGTAGTATATGTCACAAAAAGCATGATTTATAAATTGTTCCTAGTCTCCCTAGAACAAATGTGTAGAAGTATATACTGAAGTGGAACATGTCAGGCAGGAATTGGTTGCATATACATGTAACTTCAAAAATAATTTTGGAAACATCTGTATATACTAGAAATGAAATTTTGTTTTTTCAAATATTTGTTCATTTTGGCACCATATTTATGATTGTTTTCCCTGCAAACATGCTTGTATACCACTTGTGTTTTTGGTACCTGTGGAGACTGTAAAGGGATGTTGGATCTTCTTGGCCTGTACTTACAGATGTTTGTGAAATGCCATGTGGATGCTGGGGACTGAACTTTCATTATTTGTAAGGGCAGCCAGTGCTCTTTACTCTAAGTCATCTGTACAGTCCTAGAAGCAAAAATTTGTCATCCAAAATTAAAAATTTGGGGGAATTTAATAGATTTAGTAGACCATCTGAAATAACTTTACATCTGTTGCTGCTTTTTATCAACATCTATATGCACTTACATGCCTACAGTTGTGTTTCTGTGTCTGTTTTATATGTACAATTTCATTTTTGTTTATAATCTACATCTATTCATGTAGCTACAGATTTCCATGTGAAACATCTATTGCTGTCATTTTAATTAGCAATTATAAATATTTAAGTGAGATGATTTATTATTGTTCAGGAACACTCTCCATGTGATTAAATAATGCTAATCAACACATTTATCATCTGAAATATGTTTTCCTAGTGAGAATTCTTGAAATTTACACATTTTAAACTAAGAAATACACACATATTTATGTACTGTATCTATCATACTGTGAAATACACTTATTGAAGAAAAATATTGTTTCTATTGAGAACATGAATACCTATGCTCTAATGTCACCAATTCCTTGTTATTTCAATATTCCTACCTTCTGATACTGCACATTTATCTCATTAGCTCAATTCCCTCTATTTCCATATTGAACGATAGCTTTCAGTATTTATCCCACTGTGAGTAGATGATTACACTGAGCTTAATCACCTGTATTCATTCATGTTGTCATAAATGATTTTTCTATGCTTAGAGCTGAAAAATTTCCATGGTATATTTGTGTCAATGAATCTTTACTATTCATCTGTTAGACACACAATTTGATTTCATTATTTGACTTTTGAATTACATCATGATTAATATGAAAAAGCAGACATTTATTACTACTTTAATTTCCAGTAATTTTACTAAATACTTACATATGATATTTTTGACTTTCAAAAACTAGATATTTAAGAATGCAGGCACACTATTGAATAAAGAGTATCCAAATTAATCAGCCATGTATAAATGCCCCCTTTTCTGAGTATCTTCAAAAGCAATTTGTGCAGTATTATTTAAATTTTTCTTTTTAAAAAATTTTTATTTTTTAAATTTAAATTAGAAACAAGCTTGCTTCACATGTTAATCCCAGCTTCCTCTCCCTTCCCTCTTCCCCTGCCCTCTTCAACCCTCCCCAACCCCCCACCCAATTCCCACTCCACTCTCTGAGGAGCGTGAGGCCCTTCATGGGGGTTCCCAAAGTCTGTCATATTATCTGGGGCAGGGCCTAGGCCCTCCCCATATGTCAGGCTTAGACAGCATCCCTTCATGTGGAATGGGCTCCCAAAGGCCCTCTGGATGCCTGGGATAAATACTGATCTATTGCCGGAGTCCTCACAGAATGCCAAGGCCTCTTCACTGATACCCATGTTCAGGGGTCTGGATCAGTTGATGGTGGCCTTTTAACTATCATCTGGGGTCCATGAGCTTCCCCTTGTTCAGGTCAGATGTTTCAGTGGGTTTTACCCACCAAGTCTTAATCCCTTTGCTCATCACTCCTCCCTCTCTGCAACTGATTTACAGGAGTTCATTTCAGTGTTTAGCTGTGGGTGTCTGCCTCTGCTTCCTTCAGCCACTGGATGAGGGCTCTAGGTTTGCATACAAGGAAGTAGTCAATCACCATATCGGGGAAGGGCATTTATGTTAGCCTTTCCACTATTGCTTAGATTGCTAGATGGTGTCATTCTTGCAGGTCTCTGAGCATCTTATTTTTTAAAATTACTTTTATTTTTATATGCATTGGTGTTTTGCCTGCATATATGTCTGTGTGAGAGTGGCAGATTCTCTGGAAGTGGACATGCAGATAGTTGTGAGCCACCATATGGGTGCTGGGAATCAAACCAAGGTCCTCTGGGAGAATGGTCATTTCTTCAAAACATGGTGCCATCTCTTTAGTACCATTTTTCTTTATTCTTCTCTCATGTAATACATATCAACCATAATTTTCCCTCTCAGTTCTCTCCCCATCTTCACTCTTCCAAATTCAATTCCACCTCCATTTCCCTTCAGCAAATCACAGTCCTCCCAGGAATTTCAACTGAACACCGTATAAGAAGTTACAATAACACTAGACACAAACCCTCATCAAGACTGGTCAAGGCAATTCGGTAGGAGAAAAGGGGTCCCAAGAACAGGCAAGTAAGTCAGAGATACCCTACCCTTATTTTCACTATTAGGATTCCCACAAAACACAAAACTAACAAACCTAACATATGGGCAGAAGACCTAGTGCAGACTGATGTAGGCTCCTTGATTACCACTTAAGACTCTGTGAGCCTCTATGAGGCATGCTTAGTTGATTCTATTGGATGTGTTTCCTGGTATTCTTAACTCCCCTGTTTCCTATAATTCCTGATCGTCCATCTGTAGGAGGGTTTGCTGAACTCTGCTCAATGTTTGGTTGTGAGTTTCTGCATCTACTCCAATCAGTTGCTGGATGATGCTTCTCTGATGATGATTTGGCTAGACACTGATCTATGAGTGTATCAGAATATCAGTAGTAATCATTCAACAGACATTTATTTTTCAGTCATATTTGGCTCTAACCAAGTTATTTTATCCTATCCAATCTCTGTTTCTTGGCCATCCAGTGTTGGGAATGAGATGCCTATATTGAGTGGGGGATTGATCTGTAATTCTCTTTGTTGCATCTTCATGCAGTTTGTGTATCAGGGCAACTGTGGTGTCATAAAAGGAGTTTCACAGTCTGCCTTCTGATTCCATTGTTTGGAACAATTTGAGGAGTTTCAGTATTAGCTCTTCTTTGAAATTCTGGTAGAATCTTTGTAAAACCATCTTGTACTGGTCTAGCTGTGGTTAGGAGAATTTTAGTGACTGCTTCTAATTCCTTAGGAGTCACAAATATATTTAAATTGTTCATCTGGTCTTGAATTAATTTTGGTATGTGGTCTCTATCCAGAAAATTATCCAGTTATTTCAAATTGTCTAATTTCTTGGAGTACAGTTTTTAAGTATGACTTGATGATTCTCTGGTTTTCCTCGCTGTCTGTTGTTATATCCCCCTTTCCATTTCTGATTTTGTAAATTTGGGTATTCTCTCTCTGTCTTTTTGTTAATTTAGATTGGGGTTTTTCTATCTTGTTGATTTTCTTGAAGCTAGTGGGGCAGAGATGGGTGGAGGAGTGGGCTAGGGTTAATGTTGTCCAAGTGGGTGATCACTCACAGTTTCCTGCAGTTGGTTCAGGTGCTGTCTGTGTCTCCAGGAACTACTGATGCTGCAGGTGATGGAAGTCTCCTTCTTATTCTTCATCTGGCATATGGCAGTAGTGAGGATTCTTGGCACAACTTATTTTGTAGTTCATCATCCAGGGAAGTTAGGGCAGGAATTGTTCTGTGTTTGATGATTTTGCTAGCAATCTATAAAGACTGGAACATAAGATTGAAATGCTAACAGAAAAGTTTTGTTTCATGTCTGAGAGCAATAACAAACTAGCTGATAGAACATTATTTCTGGAAGGCAGTTTACATGATACTCAGATACTTTCTAAGGATGTGAATATTAAATATTTGGAATCACATATAAATAATGAATGCAAAACATGACCAGTTCAATGACATCCTTGAAAATTTGCTATTTTATTTTTTTATTATTTTAATTTTATTTTATTAATATTATTTTTTGGTTTTATGAGACAGGGTTTCTCTGTATTGTTTTGGAGGCTATTGGTCCAGCCCAGCCTAGAACTCACAGAGATCTGCCTACCTCTGCCTCCCAAGTGCTGGGATTAAAGGCGTGCCCTGCCTGGTTTATTTTAATTTTAAATAGCTTGTTTTACATGTCAATCCCAGTTCCCTCTCCCTCCCCTCCTCCTGCACCCTCACCATCTCCCCCAGCCTCACACCCCATTGCCAATTCCTTCTACATGGGTGATATCTAGAGTCTGTCATTTCACTCAGGGTAGTGTTCAGGCACTTCTCTAAGAGTCCAGGCTGAGAGATCATCCCTCTTTGTGTTATGGTCACATGATGTCTGTTTGTATTCTAGGGATAAACACTGATCCACTGCTCAGGGCCCCATAGGTTGCCCAGGCCTCCTCACTGACTCTCACATTCAGGGGGTCTGGATCAGTCCCATGCTGGCCTCCCAGCTTTCGGTCTGGGGTCCAAGAGCTCTCCCCTGTTTGGATCAGCTGTCTCTGCTGGTTTTGACAGCCCATTCTTTGCCAATTTGCTCATTGCTCCTCTCTCTCTGTCACTGGGTTCCTTGTGTTCAATTCAGTGTTTAACTGTGGGTGTTTGCCTCTGCTTCCATCAGGATGAAGGCTCCAGGATGGTTATAGACATCAAGTTCATTATCAGAAATGGGCATTCGAGGTGGTCTCTCCACTATCGCTTAGCTTGCCAGTTGGTGTCATCCCTTTAGATCAGTAGAGGTCACACTGGTGCCTGATCTGTCTTCTAACCTGATTCCCTCTTCCCCCTATTCTAAACCCTACTCAACCTTCCTGTTGCCCCATGACCTACTCTCTCTTCCTCTTCTCCCCCTCTCTTGTTCCCAGCTCCCACTTCCCCCACCTTTTGCCATGTTCCCAATCTGTTCAGAGGATCTTGCCTCATTTCTCTTCTCTTGGGTACCATGCATATATTTTAGGTTCTTTCCTGTTTCCCAGACTCTCTGTCAGTGGAATTGCAGACTGGCACTATCCTGA